TTTAATAAGCAGTCCAGATAGACATACTGGTCCAGTCAGAGCACTTGACTTTAATCCTTTCCAAGCAAATTTATTAGCAACAGGTGCAACAGAAAGTGAAATTTATATATGGGATATTGTTAATACAACCACTCCAATGACTCCTGGGTCTAGAAGTCAACCATTAGAGGATGTGCAACATATTGCATGGAACAAGCAAGTGCAACACATTCTTGCTTCCACATTTTCTCAACGTTGTGTCATATGGGATCTAAGAAAAAATGAACCTATAATCAAATTAACAGACGCAAATTCAAAAGTAATTTCAAACGTATATGTTTACTATTTTTAGTACATGTAGTTTCTATAATTAACTGTTATAAATTAAGGTAAGGTGGAAAGTGGTCCAGTGGCATCCAGATGTTGCAACACAGTTGTGCCTGGCATCAGAAGATGATCAGGCCCCTGTAATTGAATTATGGGATTTAAGGTTTGCAACATCACCTTTAAAAATGTTCCAAAATCATCAACGTGGAGTTTTATCAATTGCATGGAATCCACATGATCCAGACTTGCTTTTAAGCTGTGCCAAAGACAACAGAATATTGTGCTGGAATCCTAATTCCGATGCACCTGTACGTTTATTAGTAACACTTTTACGTTTAATAGTAATGAATGAATTCAAGTAATTTATTTTTTTATGTAGAATGGAGAAGTGATTTGTGAATTAGCACAAACGAATCAATGGAATTTTGACGTTTCGTGGTGTCCGAGACATCCAGGATTAGTAGTGGGAACCAGTTTCGACGGTCATGCAGCAGTTTATTCCTTATTAGGTGGACAACAACAGTTGTCTGTAGAAACGTCCAACAAAATTGTAGACTCCTTTCCTGGAATGGATCCTTTTACACAACCACCTTCTGCAGTTCAGGCAGAACCCGCGGTTGTATTGACAAAGGCTCCAAAATGGTTAAAAAGGCCATTTGGCTCATCCTTTGGAGTAAGTGTCTGTTTTTGAATTATGCAATAATTCATTTTTTCCAAATCGTAATAGAGTATTAAATCGGTGATTCTTTTCATAAAAACAGTAAACTTTTTTTAGTTTGGTGGGAAGTTGATAATATTTGAAAATGGGCCTATAGATCCCAATATACCTCCAAACTCAAATAGGAAAGTCATCATATCACAAGTAGTCACGCAACCGGATTTAATCCAACGTTCAAACGAATTGGAAGAAGTTCTTAAAACTGAGCAATACAGTGATTACTGTAAAGGCAAGGTCGATCAAACTGATGATGTACATAGAAAAAAGATATGGAATTGTGTGGGTGCATATTTTGGTGAAAATGTGACAAAAGATATATTAAACTTACTGGGATATGATATAGAAACGATGAATAACAAATTAAATCAGTACATACCTCAAGATGAGATCAGCAACATCACCGAAGGTGTTGGTAACTTGAATAATGTACTTATCATTTTATGTTGTTTAACGTACTTTTAATAAATCATAAAACATGTTTGGTATATCGTAAAATATAATTTGTTTGTTTAGGTAGCTAATGGAAATGTTGTTGATGGATGTGCGGCATTTGATGCCATCGCGCAAGAGAGCAAGAAAACAACCGCGGCTGCACTCAGAAATAATAATATCGAAATAAACGTATCTGATGGTAATTTTGACAACATAGTTTCGAATGTTCTAAATTTTTATTATAATGCTATTAATAATTAATGTTTGGATTTGTTATGTTACAGATGAGGATGGGCTTATAACTCAAGCAATCCTCTTAGGGAATATTGAAGCCGCTGTGTCTTTGTGTTTTGCAAATAAAAGGTACGCAGATGCAGTCATTCTTTCAATGGCTTCTGGACCCGACTTGTTAGCACGTACCCAGTACAGATACTTTTCAGAACATTCGGGTGCTCTTAATTCTCTTATCAATTCATTAGTTAGCGAAAATTGGGCTGAGGTGATTAAAAATGCCAATATAAATTGCTGGAAAGAAGTATTGATCGGAATATTTACTCATTCTAACCCACAAGAGCGCTCTACGTTATGCGGTATGCATTAAATAACACGTTGCGTGATGATTGAAAATAAATATCTGACTTCTAATACTCTCAATTTCTTCTATACTACAGACATGCTCGGAGACCGATTAGCATCGTCTGATGATCCAGCGCTTGAAGAACAAGCTCAGATCTGCTACATTTGTTCTGGTAATTTGAATAAAATGATTGAATCATCCAACGCTGAAATTCAAGAAGTCGTTGAATTGGTAGTTTTAATGCAAAAAGCTTTGGAAACGCAGGGTATTAGAGACGTACAAATAGAAGGGAAGATTGCAAATGTTTTATCTCAGTATGCCGAAATGTTAGCGGCAGAAGGTGATCTCGATGCTGCACTGAATTATCTTGGAAACAGTCAAGATGAAAATGTTATGATGTTAAAAGATCGTCTATGCAGAGCGTTAGGCTACATTCAGGAATCGAAAGTCGTGCCGAAAGCGCCAGCGGTACAAAATTATTACGATCGAACAAGAAGACCTATGCAGGTTGCACAAAATCCACTACACGCTGCAACGCAACAAGCAAGGCCTTTCTTCGATTCGAATGTTGCCCCTACAAAACAATCTTTCGTGCCACCTCCAAACCAATTTAATACCCAGCAGCAACAACAACCTTTCGGAATATCTCCACTCCAACCTCATGTACAATCTATGCAATACGATCAAATGCCCAACACTTACACTTCGTCAGCTATGACTCAACCGCCTCCTCCACCACCTCCTACAACTGGATCAAGCGGAATAGGATCTCGACCACCCAGTGTTGGGCCTCAAACAAGATCGAAATACTTAATAGATCCATCTGTGAAATCTCCTTCAACATACGGACAATCTGGTTTCCCTCAGCAAACATCGATGTACAATAACCAACAACAAGTTTCTCCGTTGCAAGGCTACCCTGCACCGAACGTGTACCAGCCTCAAATACCTGTTCCTACAAATGCATATCCTGGACAGAACTTCACAACTATGCCGAAAGAACCTGAACCCTTTAAACCAATTCAGCCAAGCGTATTAACGCCAATGCAGAATCCGCCACAGGGTCAAATCTATGAACCAATTAAGACCCAACCGCTTCCACAGACTTCAATGTATGGAAACGAGAATCAACCACCACCGGTCGATCGTTCGATCGCCTATCAGCTACCACCGCAACCTGCCGGATGGAACGACCCACCAGCTGCAAAATCCAGAATGCAGGTAAATTGTTTTTATATTTTTAATACATTAGCATATACCGGATTACTTGTTCAAATAAAGTTAAAGACTGATAACGTAAACTTTACCAAGTTTATACTTATGTATGTATGTACGTTCAAATAATATAGCCAGTACTGGCATTATGCAACAAAAATGAAATGTCTGCGGAACATGCCGGTACCCGGAAATGGAAAGAAAAACATTCGAAGAATGTGAATACGAAGGTAGACAACTACAAGAAATTGAGTGCTGTTTTTTACTGTATCATAATTGCTGTTTATTTTTGAGCAAGATGTATTCATTCCCTTGATATCGTATATTAGAATTTTATTCAGTTTATCACGAATAACATCATAGTTTCGTGTGATTTTCAATTAACCAATACCACGGTGTGAAGTACAGCTTCAAACAAACATTGGTGTCGTGTAAATGTTATATTTTACTACACAGACATCGCTAATTTTATCGTTATGATTAAAAATATAATGTGTTATGTGTAAGCATAACAATTTTTATATTTTGTATAGTCAAAGCCAGACTACCAGACTCAGAATCCAATTTTGCATCCATTGAGGGGTGCTATGCCTCAATCAGAACCAAATGTAAGTATATAGTATTTTCGTTTTACAAAACTATAAAATTTCTGTTCTTTTCTGATTGATCTTTTTAGGTTTCACAGCAAGAAAAATATTATCCTGAAACGCAAGTACCTTACAATCCACAGCAATATACTCAGAATATTCAGAACGTTCAAAATATCGGCGCTCAGTTTGCCAAACCAATGGAACCTGTGCAACCTGCAGCAATGGCCAGAGCACCAGAGCCAGAGAAACCAAAACCACCGATTCCGGAGCAACATGTGCACTTAAAAACAGTATTTGATGAATTAAAAAATCAGTGCTTCGAGAACGCGAAGAATCCAGTAAGTTTACACACTTTTTATAAACTATATTATAAACAACATTATTTATTTTTTTATTACCGTAGCAAATTAAAAGGAAAATAGAAGATGTATCTAAGAAACTTGAAGTTTTATATGATTGCCTTAGAGAAAATAAGGTAAACATCTGATTTCATTATACTGTCATTTTCAGTATTAAAATACATTTAATAAACTTGCATTTTACAGTTATCCCAAAATACATTGCAAGGACTACATCAAATATCACAGATGGTACAAAGTGGAAATTATACCGGATGTTTAGATCTTCATACGCAATTAGTATCAGGTCCAGATTTCAGTCAAATATCTTCTTTTATGCCTGGAATTAAAGTATTATTGCTAAGTGCCCTTCAACTAAATGTCTATATTAGATAGAATGCAATATACAGAATCGGAAATATTTACATTTAATCATTTTTATAATTTGAAATTTTTATAATCCTTAACATCCTTATTAAACGAGATATTCGCGTTAAATTAACTTTCCACGATATTCAGTGCAGTATGAATAGTCGTAACTACTTACATATGAACTTTATGACTTCATCGTACAATAAAAAAAAAAAAACATAAAGTTTATATATTCTACAACTAAAAATGGCTTATCTCTATACAACTAAGAAATTCGTTATAAAAAGCATGTAAAAAAATAGAAAAACTATATTTGAGCAGAGAAGACATTAATATGTTCTCGCAAACTGTTAATTGAATTTTGTTCTTTTAACCAATATGTGTACATAAAATATTAAAGTTGGCTTTAAAAAATCATGTGTATATTTTTAAATAAAAAAAGTTATATTAAATTTGTTATTAAAAATCAGAAAAATTTATTGAATAATTAAACTGTGTAGAATAGCAGCTTTTTCATTAATAATAAACTTTTGTAACAATTCATCTAATGGATCGATTCCATCACGTGCTGCTTGCCGGCGCATTGCTTGTTTCACTTCTTCGCGTACACCTTTGTCAGCTCCACGAGTAGTTATACGTCGATCTATAATATTTTTGTAAAAATATAATAAGTTTAACTTTTCAATAGCAGATATACCTAAAATAACGTACTTTGTAATACTCCCGATCCTGAGGCTATATCCAGAGATACACCACCCCCATGTTCCGTCCAGAGGTATGTCAATTCTTCTAAAATATCTACACATATAATATACGCCTGAAATAATGGATATGAAAAAGATCCACGATTGATGATTCTTTCCGTAATTGTAGATAAGGTACTAGCTTCCTGAGGCCAATCGATTTGCATTAATACCAATACATGTCCTATGGCCAAGTCTCCAACACCGCCGGGTAATGAAAAATTTTCCTGGAGTAATCGGTATGTATAAATGTACAATCAAAATCGACACACGTTTAACCACAGTTGTATGTCAGTTACCTTCATCGCTAAAAGAAGTAATCTGCAGCAATATTGAATGATGGGAAAACGCGCAATTGTTAAATAATGCAAATGCCTTGCACATGGAACTGTTAAATTATGAGATACTTTTCCACTTACTGAAGGCAATGTACTAACTGCTAAAACTATGTACTCTAACATTCCCTGAAAAAATAACATATATTTAAAATTATTTTATCAGGAAAAAAAGACACGACGTAAGAATATGAAAACAGGTAATGTACCTTATAATCTTTTAAGAAAAAACATGTACTTGCTAAACGAAGATGAGCAGATAAACTACCTGCTTCTTGAGATAATCTTGCTAATACTTCATGATGTAAACCTTTGTACATAGCTAAATCTGTTAGAAAGAAGTTGAGCCATGAATCTAAACGAAGCTGTTGGTTTAATTTTGCTACTTCTCTTTGCAAATAATCATTGCTATGTAACAAATCCCATAATTTCACAGCTGATGCTAAACCATTACCACCGTACTCGCTGTCGCTGGTTACTACAATACCTCCATTGTCTTCCCTTTTACGTTTTTTTAATTTTGGTTCTAGATGTAATACATACAGTCAAAATTATAGACATATGGATAAAAAAGAAAGTACTGCAAATTCAGTCATTATCTTACCTGCAGATGAATGTACACACTCTCTAAATGCCTCTACTAAACAGTACATGGTATCATCATTATTTATAAGCGCATTATGTTCATTTAATATTCGTAACAAAACTACAATAGTACACATCAACAATTGTCTAACTACTAATTCTTCGCATAAATTTGCTGAATGTACGACTGCATATTGATGCAGTCTCTCGCAATATACATCTCGATTCCAAGGCATTGTAAACAAACTACTCAGTTCCCACCCCAATTTCTTTCCAATTAATTCTACAACTTGAAACAATCTATCCCATGGATGCTGAATTTGATTGTCCTGTGGTTGTTGTATGTATGCCAAATAAAATTCTACTGCTTTACAGAGTAATCTTAAACATAATCTTGGGTTTAATTCAACTGGTGCAGTACCAAGGAGTGGTAATGCATCACAAGCCAATAGCTTTCTGAAACCATTCACTGCACGCCCTGGATGACTGTGCTTCTCTGCAGTGAGAAGAGTTTCTACTAACCGTACCTGAAAATGTAACATTACTAAGGAACAACTAATGCAAATGTTGAAAAACCTATTAAATAAAGATACTTACTCCATGAGTAGCAATAGTTTGAGGGAACCTACGTAGTAACAATAATAATAATTTACAATGTTCCATTGTATCCTCACTATGATCAGCTGTCATAACAAGCAATCTATGCTGTAGCTCTTGAGGTATGTGTTGGAACATCTGACATAAAAATTCTGCTTCAGAATCACATTGTTCCATACGTAGACAAGTTGTTACTGTTTCTATTTCCTTCCATATATCTCGATCATCTGGAAAATTCTGAAATCTATTCTTATATTTAAACAAATGTTTACATATGTGTGAAAAATGTATATTTTTAATATTGCCTAGATGAGTATTTCCACCTACATTTCACTGAAACATTTAGCTGCTTCTTTCACATTTTTTGAAAGCTTTTCAATCCGATATGCTTCGAACTGTTAAAAGAAACAATATAATTAATTGTTGAATGAATTTCTTAAACATTAATAACGTCGAACATTAGGTCAATATTAACCTGAACTTTAGCACTATGAGGGAATAAAGACCTAGCTGTAATTAGCCAGGATTTAGCCGCATAAATATCAACCGGTAATGCATCTTTTGCGCGCATAATTAAATAATCTTCTTTAGATAATTGATTATTATCAGTGGTGGATGTTTTTTCCAACATTTTTTAAAACATTAATATTTGTAGAGGCAAAGGTATCTCGCACAGATTTGTAAATAGTACCTACTGCTAGCAGTGCAGTGACTACAGATCCAACAAGACAAGACGTGCCTTGTTTTCAAGGGGTCTTGAATTTGTGGAACGAACGCCATCTGCTCTATCCTAGTTTAAAAATTTGTTCGTCAACGGCCTTTAGCCACTTAGGACATACCGGTACCCGTAAGATCACCGAAGTCAAGCTAAGTGGGCACGATTCTCGCCAAAAAGATTGGTGACCGTGTGCTGTTGGCAAATGAATAAGCGGAAAGCGAATAACGAATAATGAAACGAATAAGGCAATGCAATGTAAAAAGAAGTAATGGAAATAGTTGACAAAAAGTTCGTTGGGCAAAAGAGGGGCTAAAAGCACCTGGACTCAAATGTTTCCCGCTGGTTACCTTGACCGACGGAGTAGCTTGTTTCGCGACATCTTTAGAATAGAACATGAAGTATTTCGTTTAAAATACTATATTCGTGTAATTAAACAGGGCTGATGATCTTTATGATTTTACTTATTCTGCGGTAAGTATCAGCTGTTCGGTGACAGTTTGCCAGCCGTAGTAGAGTGTTGAGGTTTATTGTTTGGAAAGCAATATGGCTATCTGGTGATTAGTAACAGTGCGATACGTAGACAAAAGAACAACGCAGTTCTCATGATATTTGGAGACTCGTTGTGCGTTCGTTTCTAGTTGGTTTAAGTAAGAAAAAACAAGAGAATCGTGGTAAAATGTTGGAACTCGAAGTGGTTCCCGAGAGATCCCTCGGTTGCGAACAGTGGGAATTTATTTTAGGCAAGTGACGAAACCACTCGCGTTGTATCGCGGCTATGTCGTATTACGCATAATTTTCCAACAATTAAATTATTCCGAATGATCGGCAAATTGATCGATGATCCTCGAAACTTCGATTCACAATGCCTAACACATCTTATTGATGTTGCCGTCACCCGACTGTATTCGTAGCACCCTATTTCGTTCTATTTGTAAACACCTCGTTTGACAATCGCGCGTAAACAAAGAAAATGGAGCTTGTTATGAATATTTTGTTGCTCATTATGTAATTGTTTACAACTATTCCCTGATTGTTGAGGCTCTTACTGTCGATATATCAATTATCAGGCTGGTAATTGGTCAGAGATAAAGGCTGAAATAAAATATATTTTTTAAATAATGTATGAATTTTATAGAAATTAAGAAATTATGGTAAAACACTTATTAATATGTACATAGTTTAAAATAATGCATACATAACAAGAAAAAAATGATGTAGTTGTACAATACCGAAGAGATATATTTCTTTAATGAAATTTTTATTTCAGGGATGCATTTTTCTCAATCTGTGTCAATAATACAATCCCAAGTGGGCATTATAAGGGGAGTGCAAGTACTTTATAGTGATAGTGTAAGTATCAATGTAAATTTTATTAGATACATATTATTGTATTCTGTATTTTTATATAACTAATACTGAATAATATGTGTTACAGAATCCTTTAGATGTAGATTTAGTAATAAACTTACCTCATGATGGTGTTCGGCTTATATTTGATCCTGTGGTGCAAAGGCTCAAAATAATTGAAATTTATAATATGAAATTAGTTAAACTTAAATACTGTGGTTTACCATTCAATTCACCAGAGGTTTTGCCATCTATTGAACAGATTGAGCATTCGTTTGGAGCAACCCACCCTGGTGTTTATGATAGTGACAAACAAGTACATATTTGTTTCAATGAGAATTTTTCAGAAATCTCAAAAATAAAATACTAGCAAAGGGACTGCATGTTATTTTTAGGTATTTGTATTAAACTTTAGAGGACTATCATTCTACTTTCCCATTGACTCAAAGTTCCAACCTGGATATGCACATGGATTAGGATCATTGCAATTTCCAAATGGAACATCGCCGCTTGTGGCGAAAACAGCCATTTATGTGGGTAATATGGGGGCTGGAATGGGAAGCGACGAACATAATTTAAAGACACCACCACCACCTCCGCTACCTCTCGTAATTATTTTTTGTTGGTGTTATAGTTTAGGCGGTACGCATATGTACAGATACAAGATTGACGCTATATAATCATCTTTTACTAGGTCTGTTATCATAACAATCTGTATTTAGAAAAGGCAGATGTTATGAGAGACAAAACGCGTACCCGGGGTCTCAGATTGCATCTCTTTACAGAAGGTAGCTCTGTAACAAGGGTATTACTAGAGCCAAAGAAACGCTGCTTAACAAAAGAGGTTACATATTATATTTGCAGAATTTTCAGATTGTTATTCTTTAAACTCGTCGCTTAATTCTTTTCATTTCTGTGTAATGTGTATTGTTATTATAGGTGTTATTTGGCGACACTTGTGAAGACGTGCTGAGCGCTTTGGGAGCACCGTCGCGAGTATTTTTTAAAGCCGAGGACAAGATGCGTATTCATAGTCCTCACGCGCACAAACGCGATAAAATAAGGCGGTCAGATTTCTTTTACAACTATTTTACCTTAGGACTGGTAAATATTTTTCGTCTAAATAGGTATTCTATATTTCACAAGCTGGAATTATGTACTCAAAAACACTTTTAGGATGTTTTATTCGATGCCAAAACCCAGTGTGTTAAAAAATTTGTATTACATACAAATTACCCAGGGCATTATAATTTTAATATGTACCATCGTTGCGAGTTCTCTTTAACTTTGCCACCGGAAAATAATTCCACCGAATCGGGAAAGTTGATTGACGTTTCCCCTTCTCCAGTTACGGTAAGATATGTTTCCCTCATTCATATTTTAATCAACGAATATACATTAATAAACCTTACAGTGAACAGAAACTTAGAGATAAATACTTGATAATTGATAATGTACTTTTAATAACTATTCATTCTATAGATCACTGCCTATACTAAATGGGATAGAATAAGTGAGCAATTGAAGGCAAGCGCGCGACCAGTTGTGTTAAATCGTGCTTCTTCGACAAACACAACAAATCCGTTTGGATGTACCTTTTGTTATGGTATACGCGACGCGATTGTCGAAGTCATGGCGAATCAGCATATTGCGAGTGTAACTCTGTATAGAGCGGTGTGACATCGATAATTTACACGATATGGTGCATTATAAAACGCTCTTTGAAGGGCAAACAAGGGAATAACGTTGGGAAGATGAACACACACACACTCGAAAAAAAGAAAAAAGAAAAAAAATAGACAAGTTTTAACGTCACAGCAATTGCATAATAACATCTACTTAAAAAAAGACTGTATAATCAAATAGGAGTATCAAGTGTGATGCGTGTTAAACACCGAGACAGTTTTTTTTTCTAACACTAATGTATACACTGAGAAACAAAGATGTTAGGTAAATTTATTTACCGAGGATGCAATTCAGCGTGAAAAGCTCAGAATCCAAAACGATATCATTTTGAATATCAAATACTGTTGCTTGTAACATTTTACATATTTTCCTTGAATTATCGATCAAGGAAGTAAAAAAGTAAAAAAGCAAAAAACATGAAAAAAAAACTGCAAAAAGACGATCAACTAAGGGGTACAAGTGTCTGCAATATTCAATAATATCATATTTAATATACCGTTTTTATCTTTGGTTATAAGTTTTACGTATAGTTAAAGAAAACACAAAAAAAAAAAACACAACACAGTCTTACGTGAGCGATCAATATTGTAATATCTGAGCTCGATAACAATAAAAAGAAAAGAATAAAAAAAAAGGAAAGTAGTTCCAGACGATTAATAAGAATTTTGATAGTTGTGGATAAATCTACGATGATTGTAACGGTTAATAATCATAAAATATAATAATGTGCTTAGTGCAAGTAAAGGAATAACTTTCGTAAAAGAAAATTTTGTAACGCGTGTTTAGATGTAATGGAAAGTGGAGACAAAAGAAAAGAAACAATGAATGATGATGCAGAAATGATTGAATATAGAGTTCACGATGCATCATGGATAATGCTGTTGTGCATAAACGTAAAAATGTGGATCATAGTAATTTTAGATACACTTCACGTTCATTTCTCAGCAACATAGTAACGAATTGTATCTTAAAAAGGGATTAACGAAACGATAAACTGATTGAATAATAAGGACCGCGTGTATCAGTTCAGGAGGAATTAAACTCATGGCCTGTTTTATACACTCCTATTTATCAAACTCTGATCATTGTGATACGCGAGATTTCGATGCCAGATTATTATTACTAATTACTTCTTTTTGCATTAACACAAAAAAAAAAGAACGGAGTTATGATGTTTAGTTAATAATTACTTTCTTATATTTCTGTGCTATTAGATAATATTTGCGGTATAAGTATGCTCGCAAAATTGGATTTGTCTTTGATGTTTTAGTCGTTAACAATTGAATCTGCCACCATAAATCTGCTGCAAAGCAGGTAATCACAATACCTCACGGAAAGTTTTTTTTTTCTTTTTCTTTTTCCTACAAATTCGAATGAATTTCACTTCGATGTTACATAGCACAATCGTATACTCTATCTTGAAACTGTTCCCATTAACTATAGGGTATAAAATACATATGTTTTATGTATCGTATAAACTTCGATAGTTAATAATCTACAGCAATTATAAGATCTATAACGAGTAATAATCGTAAATTATAAATAACGAACGACCATTCAATGGAACGTGAGATACCAGCGATAATTACTTTGATTAACACTTTTTACTGCACAGGTTTATGGCAAACTTTCCTCGTATATTTAACTAGGTACAAATTTGTGGTTCATGTTTTTTGAAAAACATATAAGTCCTTGTCAATTTTTCTATTTTACTTCTTTCCTTGAACGACAAATTATCATGTCTGCTTAAAGGTTGAAGTTTCAATGCCAAATGAAATTATTGCATCAAGGCTCGCGATTAGCAAAGAAAAACAAGATTAAACAAAAGTGTTAATCGACGCATAAATGTACAAAACTTGAGAGAGGCAGGTGCTTGTGTAATTCAAGCATTCTACCTGCTTTTGTTTCTCAAAATCTTGTTTTTGCTGAAATACCTCCTATTTGTCGACGCTATGTCAAAATGTTCTACGTGGAAATTACTTTTTGAATAAATATATAGAGTATAGAATAATTTGAACAGGTTTCACTGAAATTTATTGCATACTATTTTTTTTTGTTGTTTTTTGTTTGTTCTAATCAATCGTGATAGTTGTAATGATAATCAGTGAGTTGTTCAGAAATTATATTCTCTATATAATTATTGTAATAATTCTCCTGGAGAAAATCTCTCTCTATTTAGTTTATACTAAACGAATCATTTTGTAACGAATGGATTATAAAATTATGTGAAACGATTTCGTATAAATCATTCTTCTTCCGAAGCTCTGACTTTAACAGTCCTTATGTACTTTTTTAAACAAATTATTCTTGATTACAATTAAAGTGGTATTCACTTTGAACACCTCTATGAACGCAATAAAATAGTAAATTCTCTTTTGTTACAGTTTACCTGTTTTATTTCCTTTTACGCGCGTTGTTCGAGTCATCTGGTCTGTACCCAATATGATTCTTCGGTCTCGAGTCCGTGTTTGTAAATAGCCTGTGTCGATTCAGCTTGATTTCGTTCAATCGATCTCCTTGTGTTATATTTGCATCGTTGCTCCGATATCCTCGCGGCTCCTTCTCTAAATCGTCCGATCCTCTGATATTTCGGAATTTTCCTGGATAAAAAAACTTAAAGAGTAAAAATGTTGTTTTATAACGTGCACATCTAATATCTTTGCCATTAAACTTAGATTTCTTCACTTATACATACATTTGGAAAATGAGTTTATTTGAAACACTTTATAATATAAAGTTATTAAGAGTAAAATTCCTTAATTAATAAATAGTATTAGATTTTGATATTGTATTTTTATTATATAGAGTATGGGAAATGATTTGATTTAAATATTGATCGATAATGACTTCCTGCGCAGCTGTCGATATTTCTGAAGTTGGCAGTAGTTGATATGAAACTAATAACCTAAATAACTGATTTTCTTTAGAAATAAAAGCTACAGAAATTTAAAAGTAGAAGAAAAGTAAATGTATATCAATTTTTTCTTTACTTTTTATAAACAATTATCAGGAAATTTAATTTTGTAGGTGAAGCACGATAAATCGCAATCGATTAACGTTTGAGCTAGGATGCGCGCGCAGTTTCCTCGTTAATTTGGCGCGCAATAGTACAGTGCACGTGTAGCGTCGTTCCGTTAATTGTGACTTTTTCATATTATTATTTGCATAAACATCGAGACAGTGCCAAAATGATGATTCTAATCATCGCCAAGTCAGTGGTATGTACAAAGATATAATAATCAATAAGTTTTTTGTATTCACAGACGAAATATTACATGATAGCATACTATGGGTTAAGCGGTTAATGTATCTACAATGCGTCATCAATAACTCGTTAATATTTCGATAAATCTATAAAAATTTGTACTTTTAATATGATTTACGACTGAATTCGAAGCTTTTATTCGTGATTTTAACTATTAGATTAACAATTACTTGAATCAGATTCTCACCTAAAATTTTCGTAAGCTTCATTTTATTCCTCTTCTCGATCGGTGGACTATCGTATTTGTTAGCTTCTGAAAAATCAAAGATAGATGACATTCGTGATTGAATCGGGCAAATTCTTAAATATTCAACATGTTGCAGGGGTTGCAAGAGAAAATCCTCACCAGTGCATCCAATTTCGGAGGAGTAAGATATTTGTTTCTCCACTGGATTTGTAATCGAGTATATTCCATACTTGTGGTGCAGTATTACGTCACCATCGCCATAGTACTTCAATCTGGTGTAACCAGTACAGGTATTTAATCAAATCAATAACAATATCATCTAAACAGTTTTATACTTGTAAATTTAAGTTACTTGTACTGTTGGCCGGTATTCAATAAATTTTTCTCCATATTTTCCAACCATGATTGTTGGTGCCCAATCACGGAACCGGGTCTACAAATTCTTGTCCAAGCTATAGCCTCTCTGGCGGACATTTTGTAATGCTTTATCAAATACGCGGCAATTAGCGAACCTGTTCTTCCTAACCCAGCCTAGATTTGTAATAAATTAAAAATCAGAATAGTCGTAATGAAACGCTCGCATAATGAAATTTACTTTGCAATGAATCGCTATTGGTCCTGTAGTATTTTCACTGAGCTGAAGGAATTCGTTGAGAATTCTTCTAGGGGGAACCGTACCGTCCGGCATGAACATATCGTAATGTTTTATTCCCGCCTCGGTGAACCTAGCTCAAAAAATATAATATAATAATTCAATAAAATCTATAAGAATATTATAATATATACCTCGATGCATCATAAGACTTTTTATTCAATCTGACCACTGCAATCACTCCATTTTTTAAAAAATAATCAATGTAACATTCGGGTGGATGATAAGGGGTGCCTGGTTCTGTGCTTGGCCCAACAAAAGCAAGAAACTTTTGCGGTACTATCCAACTTAAATCACCGTTTCTTATATCCTCGTATTTCTCGTATTCGTTTACATCGAAGTCATTAAAATTAAAAAATCCAAACGAGGCTGCTTTCTGGAGCGCGTTCAAACAATCTGCTCTTAACGAAAACACCGAGATTAATTAATTAATAAAATTGAAAAGAAAGGAGAATGTTGAATTTCATTACCTAATAAATGAATGTTGTAGATGGCCGGCCCCATAGATGCATCTCGAAATGGTTTTAGAGGAACATCGCCCCCCGTGAAGAGGCTGTTGTAAGCCTCTTTGGGGGTTTTATTTAAGTACAACAAGGCGTAGGATGTGATTAGGTAAGCGGCATTTGTTCTCTTCTGATCTCGTTGCGAGGTGTAATGCACGATTTGTCTATGTTGGTTTACCGAACTTTCGAGCTTTTTGTTCACCTTACAGCAGTATCTGTGGACGATATCATTTTAACAGAAAATCTATGATTATAAAGTTTCCAAAGGAGTAAGTTTACCTGTACAAACAGGCAATGTTCAAGGGGCCAAAATCGTTGTAAAAGTTATTATAAATTAGCTCGTGATCGATGCTGAAAAAACTAATACTCGAAGTACTTTTTACATCTTTTCGACCATTGTTTAACGTTGCAAAATACAGTTTGTCTTTGATATATTCGCAAACATGAATGACATCTGGGTGTTTGTAAACTGTGGTTATATCTGAAAGTAAAGTTGAATAAAGTTAGGCGATGAAATTTTTGTTTAGATCTCTTGGTAAAAAGTACCTTCTGGATTGAAATTTCGGATGTCACAAATGTTTCGATTTTTCGTGAACCCAGAGTCTTTTTGCATAGTGAAAAGGTGACGAAGCTTTAGTTACATACTTGAAACAATTTTCATGTTACAACAGGATCAAATCTTCCCTTCGATTTACCCTAATTTAGCTAATTGCCAAATTTGTGATCTCATGATTGACACATCGATCGATGCGTCCGTCAGGTCTGGGCGTTTTTCAGATTTTTTTTTTTTTTTCAGGGAAATTATATGATTGGATAGATTCACTTTCAGTGACTAAATAATTCATGTATTGTTTCAGGGATCGATAACAACGAAAGAGAAGGGCATCTACGCGAAGGATCATCGATCAAGGACCGAGGTACTTCAGGATCAAGGATGCAGGTAAATCGAAAAATCATTGACAACGAGACGTGCTGCGAACGGTGAGTCAGTTATTTTGAATTACTATCGCTTTATGCATGATTGAATCGCATGTACATCTGTATGAAAGCTCGAAGGATCGTGGAAACTAGTATAAAAACGAGAGAAATAAAATTAGGAAACGTTGCGGTAGAATAATCTCGTAGAGGCGTTCCACGATTTATACTCGATTTTCCTCGAGACGTTGCACGCATCGATTGCACGGGAATCGATCATTTACAGCCGGTCACAGTCGATACTTTCTTCTGAATCGGGAGCCTATAACAGAGAGGCGTATTTCGTGTCGAGCAGGTTGCATAAACCGCGCCTCCGTCCTCTGGTACAATTTGCGATTGCACCGGGAAGTACTTTAACATGCAACGTGAGGCTTAACCGGTAAAACAAGCAACTGATCGGTATTTACGATTCAAGAGAAATCTTTCTCGGGACAGGAGGCGGTGTTCTGTCTATCCGTCTGTGCATCCACTCCTTGCGTCCGTCAATCCGTTATAATTTCTCCGTTAATAGAATCCGAGATTTCGTAGCGAACCGTGCGACGCATTCGAAATCCGTCTCACCTCATCGTTTCTCTCTTGCCCCTCTGTTCTTCTTCCTTTTCATCTTTCTCCGGTGCTTTCTTTTTCCACTCTCCTTCGAAATCTGTGTTTCTTCGCTTCTTCCTTGATTTCCATCGCATCGTTGGCGTTTCGTGAATGATTTTAGAAATAGAAACGATCGATACGGGTGAAACATTCTTCCAAGAGGAGGGAATTGTATTCGATTGATGTAGAAATTTCCAAGGAAGCGTTGATCGATACCATCAAAAATTCAGACAACTCGCAAAAGGGAATTCCTGTCGTTCGATGAGTCGTTTATTCGAAAAATTTCCTGAAGGTGTTATTCGCTTATGGTTGATTCGCGACCAACATCCTCTGCGGTCGTCTTCGTGTGAGGCACGAAGATCCGCTCATTGTTTCTCTAATGCATATTGACTATTAACAGCGAGCCAATGTTCCTTATACGCGAGGATATAACTACGTCACGTCCTTATTCGATGGACGTCGTCTGATCGGCTACGTTCATCTTCGAGCCGTGTCCATATTCGGCTCACCCACCCACGGCACAATGCCAGCCGCATTCATAAAGCGGCTTACCAGTTTGGCGATCAATCGAATCGATTCGTATCGAATCGAGGCAATTGATACGCCGCGCGGACGCAAAATCGGAATCTAGTTGTCGGTATTCAACGGCCTCATCCAAGCCGGTAACGTTAGCCGAGATACTCGGCCTTAAAATAGATCCTCAACGATACTCGTTGGAAACGTAATTAGCCGTCTACAGAAGTCGTTTAGCATTGTTTCCTTTTTTCCAATGGGAGATTGATCGTCAATTTTATCGGGAGGTTGAACTCGCGCAAAGCTCGGCGAGGCAAAAGCAAGCAAAGAAATGATGGAGGTCACTTTTCACCTGGAAAACGTGGAATCGAACAAAGTCGTGTGAAGAGGCAGCGATTGGAATGTTCGTCGCGAAAGCATCGAGCTCTCCTATTCCTCGGCCCGATAATTTGGACGTTGCACAGCGTGTCGTGGCGAAGTAACTGGCACATACACACCGCCACCGAAATACCGGCGTACAAGAGAGCCACCAGAGGAACGTGTACGGGGACACGAAGTGTACGTGTTCTGCGAGTGAGAGGCGATCGAGGGATAGATCCTCGGGAGCGTATGCTTCTGCTTCCGCGTGGACGGGCAATCGCCTTTGAGGAGCGCCCGCGCGATCACCAACCCCTCCACCTTTACACCCGCCTATTAATACTACTTGAAATTTTTAATTATTCGATTAGCTTGAATCTGTGGTATCGATCACTGGTGACCGCCACCAGCTGAGGGTCGGAAATATTAATAATGACCTAGGTATCGTCGTACGTATATTGCCAGCATTGAAATCATCGAATTTCTGTGTTACGTCTGGTATCAAGTTAACAATCGTCCGGATATTTATGAAGGATAATGTATTACGCGTCGAGGAAAGCTGTTCGCTCGAGCCACGCCACGGAACTCTCTCAGTCTTCTCCTCTCGTCTCTCTGGATGACCGGGGCCGATACACCCATGAGCATTCGAATCACGACGACGAAGCGGGCACGTAACAATTTCTGTTCTTGGGACTGGAGCCACTGGATGGATCGAGTCGATCCTTCCAGTTGGCCGTGTTGCACATCCGTGCTGCTGTCCCGTCTCGGACACGCGCGTTTTCGATCTTCCTTGTCGTCCGAGGAACGACCCCACCTTGGCGCAGCTTTCTTTTTCTACCCTCCTTCTACGAGCTATTCGATGGAACTCGATCTCCAATTCTCTGTTTGCAACATTGTTACACGCGTAAGGGATGATGATCGTTAAGGTATTCGAGGATCTAGTCTGTACAGGTTGGATCTATTACGCGCATCATGGAGATGCAAGGATTTATCGGTACGCGAGAAGTGAAATTTATGCGATATTCAACTGGACGTTTTAATTTATCGCGATTCTACGTGATTCTTGTCCTTTCTTCGGGAATTTATCTTCGTAACGCAGACTCCAGGGGTCGACTGCTGGGTCAGGAAGTTCAGAATTTTACTTTTCTTCTAGACAGAGTTGTTTGCGAATAGTCTAGCGACATTAACCCTTAAACAATGTAGCCTAGGTCTATCGTAACTCTCAAACTTGTCGAATGTCGAACAAACTCCAACGATGTCGAATTTATGGAAATATGAAATAAAAAGGGTTAGGTTCGAGCGAGTACACGATAGAACAGAAATTTTCCAAATGATACCCCTTTCATCCCTCTGAAGATCGAAGACGAAGAGACGCGACAAAAGATGTATCAGTTTCTTGGAAACGTTTTGCGACTAGGTTCGCCGTTCCGAGAAAAGCATTGGTCGTTTCCCCGTTAGGTTCCCGGGTCCCGTGTCCCGTCGGGTCAACGTGTCCCAGGTTTCAATCGTCGATGACGATATTTCACCATTCGAGCGTCGCGGTGATCATGGTGCAAGATTTAAGTCTTGATTCACCGGGACGGGCATTGATACCCGGATCATGTACACGCTGAATTCTTATGCTAATGCGAGAAAGGAGCCGAGAAGACAATACATCCACATCCACACGGTGGTACGCTCTCCCGCATCTGTATACACTCTGCGTCCCGTATTCTGTATTCTGTCAAGTGAATTAATACAATCACGAGGACCGCCGGGTGATTTTAGATGCGGTGAGATCGTGATCGCCTCTACGCTCCGCTCCGCGCCACGCTTTATTGAGCTTTCTCAATCGGGAAAACACGAAGATCATCGTGACCTTGGAGAGTACATTTTCCAATGGTACAATCAAAGGATCCATCACCTCCTTGCATTAATAGTACAATTAAAGTTGAACTTGAGAGTTCTATTTTCGTTTCCAATCCTAGGAACCATTCGTCTGTTCTCAGTGATCCAACGAGGTGTCCATAAACCGTCATCTTCTTCATTGGCCCGAGAGTCCTTTAATAACTCATCATACATATGCGAAAAACATTGCGCATAAGTTTCTTTTACGTGATTGATTTATTGAGTCGTTCGTTAAGAAAGTCATCGTACAAGCAACAGTCTCCGCGTGCCCCTTCCCCGTTCTTTCTCTGTAGCACACGTGGACGCTGCTTCCGGTTCGCCTGGTACCCGAACATTACGGTATCGACAACTTCCGGTCATCACTGCGAGCCGCCATTCCGTCCGGCGATCTTTTGAACCGAATACATATCTAAATCTACCGTGGCACGTATTTAGATAACGTGTGCTCCTTTTTTTTCTTCGAGCCTCGTTGATAACGGAAGTGGCGCTGGTAGGGCAACAAGAATCGCTGAATATTTGTCGAAATTCAATCGAGGTGTTAGATGATTATTTCTCTCATTTAACTTTTTTAGTTTATTTGTCGAAGATAGAACTGACGATGGTCTTTCAGTCGGACGATCCGCTCGGTTCGGGAAAATTACTGGTATCTGGAGTAGCTTTTCTTTTTCCACGATTGACCATTGACGCAGAAGAGAGAACAGTAGTTAAGAGCACACGATGTAACGGTCGTTCTGCCTGGCCAGGGTGGATGAGTGTAGCATTTCCCGTATTGCCATCGTAACTCGCGACTACCATCCGCGAAATGACAACTGCTAAACAATGGATAGAGGTTCTCGATCATCGACTCGAGGAATTTCGACTTTCTATCGATTCTATGGAAGGAACTGGCTTTACACACTCGCCTTATTTGTACCTGTTAATCGTCATAATTTTTGCAAAAATCTCTCAATTAAGATAACAGCCTTTAAATACATTATTCAAGAATAATGGCCCTTAATTGATCCATTAATTTTTTGGATCCCCAAGTGTTTCCAATTAATTTTCTATCTGTTCTCTGGTAAAAAGAAATGAAAATTTCGAGAGAGAACCACTGTGTTACTCAGAGAATCGAGATGGTTACCAATAATAGTTGCGACGTTAATCAGACTATATAAAATGATATATTTCTCGTCGAGAAATAGGCACAGAGAAAATTATTGTGAATTGCAGTGTCAGTAACGGAGCCATGCCTCGATTTCATAATCAAAGAAACTAGAAAATATTTTTCATTTTTATCAACCAAGGATTTTTTAAACAATTCTTCGTAAAAAAACATTGTTAAAAAAGAAAGAATGGTAACGAATTTATCAGCCAAGTTTTCCCTCATTTTGCTACCTCTCCGGCAGATGTCGCGGGCTTTCCTTAAATTCTTCAATGTATTTTATTCGAAATTGTTTGAAAAATTGTTACT